CCCTTTCCTTAGTACAGATTTTTTTTTTTGGGTTTAGGCCTCTTTACGGTCCCGAAAACTAGGTGCGGGTGGTGAGAATTAGCCATCCTATGATACTTCAGGCGATGTCAGGTTAAGAGCATCTGCGCTAACCCTGGGGGTCCCGAGTGCAAAAACCCTGGTCTGGACTCTTCAAGACAGTGAGTGGGATTTCCAGTTCCTGCCTTCCGAACCTCTCTGTCCTCCCAGCCGCCGGTACCGGTGATTTGGGAAACGGCCCCATTTCCCGTCCATCCCACCCGCCCCCGCAGATCAGTGGGAGAGGAGGCAACCTTGGGGCGGGGAGGCATCCTCCAGGCACATTCATCTCTGTCCATTTCAAGGCGCCCAGCCTGCGCCGTATATAACGAAGTACTGCGCCCACAACAGAGGACACAGAGTCCTGTCTGCGTGTTTAATTCACAAGTATTGCGAAAATCTGGGCTCTGGGTCTACGATTAAAAGCCTGATTTGAAACTGGTTCAGAAACTGCAGCTGAGGCTTCGCTTGGGCAGGGAAGAGAGGTGGGGAGCGGGGTGGGGTGGGCGTGAGCGCGGCTCTTGGGAGGATTACGGCGGAGGCTGTGGACCTCGTCGCTGCTCGCGGAGGCTGCAGCCATTGCACCGCCGAGCATCCCACATTCAACAGGAGGAACCCGCGGGAGAGGATCCCCGAGACCCCAGCGCCGCAGCCGCCACAGCCCGTGCGCCCCGCGCCATGGCCAAGGAAGGCGTGGAGAAGGCGGAGGAGACGGAGCAAATGATCGAGAAGGAGGCAGGCAAGGAGCCGGCGGAGGGCGGCGGCGGCGGCGGCTCTCACCGCCTGGGGGACGCCCAGGAGATGCGCGCCGTGGTGCTGGCCGGCTTTGGGGGACTCAACAAGCTGCGGGTCACCAGGAAGGCCATGCCCGAGCCGCAGGACGGCGAGCTCAAGATCCGCGTCAAAGCCTGGTCCAGTATCCGCGCTTTTCTCGCTTTCTCTCTTTGCGCGCTCGGCGCTCCGGGGGAGCGGGTGGCAGAGCCTCCGCGGGGACGCTGCCGAGGGAAGCGCCTCCGTGGGCGCCCTCCTCCGCGCCGTCACCCAGGTCTTCAGAGCCTCCCCGCGGTCCGCGGCCCGCGGCCGCTGGTGCTGGGGAGGATGCTGAGAGGTGGCCCTCGCCCTCCCCAGGCCGGATGTAGGGGTGGCCAGAGGAGGCTGTGAACTCCTGGGAGGGGAAGGGTGGGTGGTGGCGCCCAGCGCTCAGGGTCTGGAACACTGCGCTGCGGGCGATCTCGGTGGGGTAGGATAGCTCAGCTGCTAGGAGAGTGGAGTTGATGACAACATGCTTCAAAAATAATAGTAACCGTCGGCTTACCTGTGTACCAGCCATCGTTTTTTTTAGAGTTTTATGTGTGCGATCTTATTTAATACTTCCAGGGACCCAGTGAGTTAGGTACTTCATTGTCCCCCTTTACCGGTGAGGAAACCAGGACTCGAGAGTGATTTGCCCAAGATCATTCTGCTACCACTAAATAGCATGGCCAGGATGTGACATTCGATCTTTTAAACCTCAAGGCTGTTGTCCTGGTGGGGCAAGGGACAGGGTGCAGGGCTGGGGAAATGCATCCTTCCTCCTCCTCGCTCCTTTACATTTCCTTCCAGATAACGGGAGAGGGGCTTCGAAGCAGGGCGTTAGGTACCCAGCAACTAAGCTCTGTGAAGGGTGAGGCCGTGGCTGCTGCTTAACCCTCCCTCTTCCCTACTAGCATCTTCGGTGTTTCTCCCAAGAGGAAAAACCAACCAACCAACCAAACAACTGCTATCTCCGAGCTCCTTCTCCCATCTCAGGACGAGCTCAGCAGTCTGAGCACCATCTTACCCCCGGTGAACTTCAGATCCACGCCCAGCTGGGATTCCTCCTGGAATGTTCAAGCCTCTCTTGTGCTGTCACTTTTTTTTTTTGCTTTAATCAATTATATTTTTATTTATTTGTTCATTTTTTTTTGCTCTTACCCACCACTTTTTTAATTGAGTTATAGTCATTTTATAATGTGTCAAATTCCAGTGTAGAGCACAATTTTTCAGTTATACATGAACATATACATATTCATTGTCACATTTTTTTTTTCCACTGTGAGCTCTTGCGCTGTCACTTTATAATCATTTCGCCAGAGTTCTGGGGAGGAAGGTTTCACCCCCGGGGTTCACTGGACCAACGCTCTGAGTTGTACATGCAGCAGCGTGGGAAGCTTGTAGGGGGAACTTGCTGGGAGCCCAGTGAGATGGGCCTAGAACTTGCCATCTCTGTTTTCAAAAGCCCTCAACAGACACTGCTCCCTAAAGCAGCAGTGAGCTCACTGGTTCCCAGGTTAGACCCCCAAACCCAGAATCTGGGAACTATCTAGAGGCAAGAAAAAATGCAAGGAGCTTCCACCTCCCCTTTGAGAGCAGGCGCGGGTTTCATTCGCCAGACTGGAAGGCAGCTGGAGAGAGGGGGGCGCTGGTCTCTGGCTCACTCCTCATCTGTGGGGCTGGTCATGTTTGATTCTAAATACTGGGCCTCTCTCTGGGGAATTCAAGGCAGGGGATGAGGCTTTGGGGGATCCTATTCAGTTCTGTTTTGTTAACTCTTGCTGAACCAAGCTGCTAGATCCCAGAAGGCAGAGCTGAAGTCTGCCCCGCTCACCAATAAGTCCCCAACTCCCAGCACAGAGCTTGGCACCCAGTACATCCAGGTTACGGCTTGAATGCACAAGTTATGGTTGAATGAATGGACTGAGGAAAGATGCTTTGAGTCATTATTTTTCTTCACTTGCTGGTGGAAGACCGTCTACCCAGTAAGATTAGAACCATGTATAGATGATTCTTGTTCCTCAACCACTGGTCAAAAATATTATGTGTGTGTGTATAATTTATGGCCCTCCATTCAAATAGAGGACTGGGTTCTAGGACTCTTTGTCAGAGTGTATATTCCGAGAGTGAAAATGTTGAAGCTACTTTTGAAAGAAAAGAGCATCATCTGTAGTGCAAGTAGGTCTGTCTGCGTTCACCAGCCTTTCCCTTCCTGCATAAATGCTGATGGGAACTAAAGCATTTTGAAACAATAAATGTCAGGAAGAAGGGCAGGAGATTGATTTTCAAAGCCAGACACACAAGCCTGTTCTTCATTGGAGCTGTAGTGTGTGTGGTGGGGGGGGTGGGGTGGGCGGGGGGGGGGGTGGACATTTGGACTACAGAATTGCAAAGGGCCCAAATTGATTTTCATTTCCCCAAGCTGGAAGCGGAGTTCATCAGTTTCACAAGGGGGGATTGAAATAGGTTTGTGAAGATCACCCACTGGGCCCTTCGTCCTCCACTGGGCAAGGATTGGCTGGCCAAAGATGCCCACTGATTGTAAGTTTAGCCTTGGGAGCCAGGATGACTCATTCTATAGTTTTATGAATCAGCTGATGGCCTCCTGCTTGAAGGTTCCCCTTTTATCTGTTCTCTCTCTCTCTCTTGCTCTTTTTTTTTTTTTTTTTGATTCTCCATTTTTAATGGAAAGCTTTTATCATCAAATAGGATATGCTTTTCACTTGATAATAAAGCACAGTCCATCTGAGCCAGTATTATTCAGACCTGGAATGAGGGTCCAAGTTGGTTAATGTATAAATTTTGTGGAAATGGAAGAAAAGAGGCAGGGGAAATAGCTATTTTATCTCATTTGCCAATCTCATTTATGGTCCAAGGAAAGAAGTATTATGGTACAGCAAATTGAGGCTTGGAGATGTTGAGTAATTTGCTAAAAACATCACACAGGTAGTTAGGATCTGAATCCTGGTTTGTCTCTCTTTAAAGCCTTGCTGTTTTCCTTTTATTCTATTTTGTCTGCCTCTGTGGAAAAGCCACAAGAGATGTGATCTACCTCTTCAGACCTCTGGCATTCAAGCCTGCTTTCTTTCCTTTCTTCCATGAATATGGCTCCTTTGATCTGTTTATGTCTGGCTTAAGGAAACATTTTCTGGCTGTTCCCAGAGTAATATGATTTTCCCCCCAAAGTGGAGGCTTGATGGTCAAATGCAGCTCAGAAAGCACCACGTGGGGAATGCGGGTGGGAGGGACAGCCCAGTCTTCTATCTAAATTGTTACAAGAACACCCTTTATTGAACAACTTACACAGCAAGCAATTTAAGTGGCCCAGCAGAAAAAGCATGCTGCATTTTTGGAGAAAGATGGATCTGTGTAACAACCTCAGTGAGTCCATCTCTTAACTTTCCCAAGTTTTTCATGCCTCAACTGCAAAATGGAGATAGTACAGTGAACACCATGGTGCTGAGAGAATCAGATGCATGAAAGAGGTAGGTCCAACATTGGCACTAAGTGAACAGCAGTTGCTATTGTGACTGCTGTCACATTTATGCCCATATGACATATTTCCTGGTGACTTGATAACTTGGAGGCCGTCTTTTTAATCATGTATATAATAGAGGCAATATTATATCACATCTGCTTAGTGATGAAGACTGAGATCTTCCCAGACGTGAGTCCCAGGGCTGCCACTTGCTAACTGGACGTCTTAGGTCTCATTCCTTGGAGGCAAGGGATGCTTTTTTAAGTGGTTGATGGAGGGGCTGCTTTTGGGAGATCAGGAGTGAGGGGAGCAGGACAGGGCAGGGGAGAGAGCGAGCAAGGGTTGGGTCTCGGCTAGATCCCACCAGGAGTTGAGTTCTGCAGCATGAGTTGTACCAGAGAGTCAATCTGACCAGGAAGCAATGGGGGCAGCCTTGTGTGGTCCTGCCCTTGGTCATCAGTCGGTTATGGGCTCTGGGCTGCTTCCTGAGTCGGGGCGTGGAGCCTCTCCAGCAGAGGTGGCTTGTCTTTGACTGAGGGCAGTTCCCCATGGAAGCAGAGACAGGGACTGCTCTGAGCTCTGAGCAGCCAGCTCTCCTAGCAGCTGGGGCATGGGTGCACTGGCCAGTGAAAGGGATCTCAGTGAGGTGCAACAGCGCCCTCTCCACTGGTTGACCTTGAACATGCTGCTGACTCTTCTAAACTTCCACTTCCTAGTCTATAAAATAAGGATAATGATGGCCCTTTCTTGACAGTGACATAAGGGGGTTTAAATGAGACACAGAACACAAAGACCTTTATGGTGATGCCTGGCACAAAGCAGGTGGTCAAGGAATGCTAGATATTATTGTTTAAAGTGTTACTCTTGGTTTGCATGGATACGCTCTCTCGTTTACCATTCATACCAGAACTTTTCACTTTTGAGAGTAAAAGGGGCACTGTTAATAATTACTCTGGGACAGCAGGGACGAACTGGAACTGTTCTAGGCAAACCAGGGTTCGTGGATCCCCCTCTTCAAATAAGAAGGTCAGATCTCTGCCTTTGCTGCAGGCGGTCTTGTCACCGCAGCGCTTCTCCTGGGCAGGAGCTGGTAGGACTTGAGGCTGAGCGTCTCCAGATTGGGCTACAGGAATGTACTTAAGTAGCCATTAACAAGCCTGTCTGTTTTGTGGCTCAGATTGGTTTGTGGTGGAAAGGCTCTAATGGATTGGGGAACGTTTATTTTCCCAGACTGATTTACAGTGAGAGGCCACAGGAAACTGCTGGAATGAAACCAACTGGATGAAAAATAGCACCAGCAAGTCGTGGCTCCATTGGCTGATCTGAAAATGGGCCGAGGGCAGGCCACACTAGAGGAAAGCCAACAGATTGGCAGGATCTTAATAGATCACAAGGGGAAAGTGCATTGGAGATGGGGAGGGAGCTAATATCTAGTAAGCAGTTGTTAAGAGCCAGAAACTGAGTTGCCAGCTATATACTCTTTGTTTCATTTTATCCTAATGGCAACTCAACAAGATCAATGTTGCAATCTCCATTTTAAAGATGGGGAAACTGACATTCAGAGACTAGTGAGGATAAGAATGTGTGGAGTGCAAGAGCAGTGTAAAAATCCAAGTCTGCCTTGTTCCTGGACTCTACATG